ATCACTGTATCACTCTACCTAATTTCATCACTAGTATTCACTCTACCTAATTCCATCACTGGTATTCACTCTACCTAATTCCATCACTGGTATTCACTCTACCTAATTTCATCACTAGTATTCACTCTACTTAGTATCATCACTAGTATTCACTCTACCTAATTTCATCACTAGTATTCACTCTACCTAATTTCATCACTAGTATTCACTCTACTTAGTATCATCACTAGTATTCACTCTACCTAATTCCATCACTGGTATTCACTCTACTTAGTATCATCACTAGTATTCACTCTACCTAATTCCATCACTGGTATTCACTCTACCTAATTTCATCACTAGTATTCACTCTACCTAATTCCATCACTGGTATTCACTCTACCTAATTCCATCACTGGTATTCACTCTACCTAATTCCATCACTGGTATTCACTCTACCTAATTTCATCACTAGTATTCACTCTACTTAGTATCATCACTAGTATTCACTCTACCTAATTTCATCACTAGTATTCACTCTACCTAATTTCATCACTAGTATTCACTCTACTTAGTATCATCACTAGTATTCACTCTACCTAATTCCATCACTGGTATTCACTCTACCTAATTTCATCACTAGTATTCACTCTACCTAATTTCATCCTTAGTATTCACTCTACCTAATTTCATCACTAGTATTCACTCTACTTAGTATCATCACTAGTATTCACTCTACCTAATTTCATCACTACTATAATAACTAAACAAGTTCAAGCTACTGTACTAGCCGTGTTCACATGTTCATATCATAACTAAACAAACTTAAAGCTACTGCACTAGCAGTGTTCACATGTTCATATGATAACTGAACAAAGATCAAGCTACTGTACTAGCCGTGTTCACATGTTCATATCATAACTAAACAAACTTAAAGCTACTGCACTAGCAGTGTTCACATGTTCATATAATAACTGAACAAAGATCAAGCTACTGTACTACTAGTGCTCGCACGTTTGAAAGAATCATAACATAGCCATCACCCAATGCAATTTGAACTTTTAAAATTTCAAATCTAAGTCACATGTAAGAATAAAAAAACCTTTCATTTTACTTGTACGTTATAAACAAATCCTAGACAACAAACCTTCCATTTTACTTGTACATTATAAACAAATCCTAGACAAACCTTCCATTTTACTTGTACATTATAAACAAATCCTAAACAACAAACCTTCCATTTTACTTGTACATTATAAACGTTTATAATGTACAAGTAAAATGGAAGGTTTGTTGTTTAAGATTTGTTTATAATGTACAAGTAAAATGGAAGGTTTGTTGTCTAGGATTTAAATCCCAAACAACAAACCTTCCATTTTACTTGTACATTATAAACAAATCCTAGACAACAAACCTTTCATTTTACTTGTACATTATAAACAAATCCCAAACAACAAACCTTCCATTTTACTTGTACATTATAAACAAATCCTAGACAACAAACCTTCCATTTTACTTGTACAAGTTCCAAGTCTTTTAAAAATTAACTGCAATTCTTTTACAAGAGCTGCTGCTTCTTCTCCATCTTTTAATGTTGCCTCAAAAACCAACTCCATCAAAGGAACACCTGGTGAGTGAAAACAAAATCACAGAAACAATAAATTACACAAGGATTAACTACAAGGCAACATTTTATGGATTTCTAACTATTCTCAAAGCTTCATGTTTACTCCTTCATGCTATGAGCTACCCAATGCCTTATGATTCCACATAAAACTCAGTGTAGTTTGTAATCAATAATGGTGCTTCACCTGCCTTAGGATTCCACACTGGTCTTGCTTTTACCATGTAGATTTCACAAATAGGAAACATACAATTCTCTAATACCCGACACCTACCGTATCCAGTTCTGACACTTAATGCACCCAATTCTCTGATATCTGACACCTAATGTATCCAGTTCTCTAATACCTGACATCTAATGTATCCAGTTCTCTAATATCTGACACCTAATGTTACTGACATCTCCTTATTTCTTCCTTCTCAAAGTAGAAATACTCACTGACCTGCATGAATCTTAGTAAATAATTGCTAAATAGTTTTAAAACAAGAGGGAATCCTCAATAGCCTTGGCACTTCAAATTCTTTTAAACAGGATTAGAGAAAATTATTCTATGAGACTTTTTTGTTTTCCTTTTTATTAGCTATATTTTTGTGTGTTGGCAATACCAAGTGTGAGGCATGCATATACCCGATTCAATTTTATTACTCATCAGGATCTCTACCATCCTACCCTCAAATTTAAATTCCTTTAGGCAGGATTAGAGTAAATTAATCTAAGAGACCTTGGGTATGGTCAAATATATAAATCAAAAGGGTTTCACCTCCCGAGTCCAAAACAGTAATTGGATCTCAAATCGGGCAAGAGATGATGGAGCTAGTTATATTTGTTTGAAAGGTACAGAAGGTTACTTGTATAACAAAACAGTGACTTTCAACAAACTTTGAAATTACACAACTTAAAAATTCAAACAAATTATATTATTATTAGCCACGGCTCATAGAACAGCTCTGAGTTTTGTTTTTTCAAGTATAAACTTTTAGCTATGATACAAAAACATCTAAACAAACTATAAAAAATTTCCAGATTTGTGGTTTGTTCTAAGTCTCCTAAACATCTCTCTTAATTCCATTGTTCTTCTCTGCAGGAGCTCCACCTAATCACTTTTTCACAGAACCACTTTATTTACCCTACATTGTCATAAATAGTTTGATCTTCTCTACCCAATGGTACTTGTAGCTATTTTCAAAAGTTGAGTTTCATTAGTGATTCTTCACATCACATGCTGGGATATCAGAGAAAAAGGAAAAACACATGCACAAAAAACCTTTGAAGTAATATTTTTATAATTTCTTAGCAAATACAAGCCTGTTTTCTTTACAGGTGAGGCTCTTTGAACAATGAAGGAATGTTTTGTGCAATTTACAATAAATGTTATAAAATGACAAAGTATTGATTCTAAAATATTTTTAAGTAAACAGTTGTTGAAGTAGGGTTAGAATTATTATTTTTTACTTAAATTTTGAAATTATATGATGGCAGCTGAAAATTGTTCACCAATCCAGGGTTAGGAGATATCCATTTTTATGACAGTTTAACATATGCCCTGGGCAACAACTTGGTTGAAGTCATCCATTTTTACAATAGATTACACTGATTAGTGTTCAGTGTGTCATTTTATCTGGAATCTGTGTACTAACCCTAACATCATCACTAATTACACAAATTCTAGACAACATGACATACTCCACAATAATCACAGTGAAGTTTACTAACCCTAACATCATCACTAATTACACAAATTCTAGACAACATGACATACTCAGCAATAATCACAGTGAAGTTTACTAACCCTAACATCATC